GGTAGACTGCTTACTCGTAGTAAATACGAGTAATTGGTTTTCGATAAATCTTCTGATAAATATTTGTTGAACTGAATTTCATTTCGCATGAATGTGTGATGCAAAATTTCATAGATTGATCTTACTATTAGACGAAATAAGATATCGTTTGGCCTGTTACTTGATTTTCCTAGGACGCTCATGCTGACGCAGTCTTCAGGACAATTTCCTTCAGTTCCAGTGAAAATAGACAGAGCTTCCATCCGTCATTCCGCTTGACAGACGTAATCAAAGCTACAGCACATTCTTATGAAGACTTAAAGGATACGAAGATTCAACGCATAAAGTGACATGAGAATAAATTATCCAAAGTATTCTCTCTTTCTCTCTCTCTCTCTCTCTCTCTCTCCATATATATATACTAATTAAATTCTGTTTCAATTATATAGGAGGAAGGGATTTATGAATGGGTTTTCTTGATTCGTTGTAAGCTTAAAGTTACTAGAATTAAGTGTTCCGGATCTGGTGATGCTAGTCTAATGATACGATAGATCAGAAAGTATTCGTAGGAGCCGAAGGTAGGAGGTAGAGGATTATCCCCCAGGAAAGGCAAACAAGAACAAAGCAGTTAGAATCTGACCTTTTCTTCTTGTCAGGCCTAGCTAAGGACCTCTTCATCATATACTTTCATACGAAATGGAAGTAAGCTCACCAATACTTATTCGTAACTTATACAATACTTTGGTTCGCGCTTGTGCATCTCATATACACAACAGTTCACCAAGAACAAATTGGTGGCCTCATTATGAAATTCCAAGTTAGCCTAATATCAGGCGGCAACTCCTCCGACAGAAAAAAGTCGTGTGGTTGCATCTGAATGAGCAGAGTGAGGCATAGCTACACCGCCAGTAAGTTTATGCAAACAAAATAAATCGAAATATAGCAAGAGTCAATACAGAAATAACCGCTAAGTAACATCTATAGGGATATTTATTTTGTTTTAACCATAAAAAGCTCTATAAATAGTGGGCTGAACTTAACATCACAAAATAACGTAATGACCGAAAACGCTCAAATTAATACATCGAGAGGCAGATCATTTAATCGAAATTAAACTTGATTCTGGAAAAAAAGTGAATATTTTGTATACATTTAGATCATGTAACTGGCAAATGTACCGTTGAAACGGGAAAAAATAGTTCTAGTTGACAGTGATTAAATGAAAGCAAGTTTAATTGGAAATAAATGTGCATGAAATTTGGCATTTTATCACCCCGGCTAATATCCAAGTAGGAAATCTAAAGGAGTCAGTTTCTCAGTAATTGGAAATTGTTCCAAGATAAAAATGAGTTAAAAAGATTTGCAAGTTGATCTCAACATAAAATTAATAGAAATTTTGGCTGACCCATAAGGGTCAGCCAATTCATCTATAAAAGAAAAAAATTATTCTGTGCTCCAAATCATTTCAGTTGGAATTGCATACCCAAGTCAGCTCATTTTATCTTATCTTATCCCAGCTAGGCTCAAGTCATTTTTAATATTAGAATATATATCTAACTATTTGTAATGATAATAAACTCCATCGTTGTATCTTCTTACGGAGGCTCCAGGCGAATTTTGAATTGATAAAATAAGAAGGGGTTGCTTCTACATTGAAATATGATGTGCCATGCAGCTCAGAATAACCTGTCTTTGTGGAACAAGGCACGAAAAATGGATTGTCTTGGCAAGAGCTTTAAATACATATTTATATTAAATGCTAGCAATACTTCATTAGCGTATTGCGTTAAGAGGCATCTCCAAGAAAGATTTGAGTAAAGTGGGACCAGTTTCTCTCTGATATCCATCTAAATCAGTGGCGCTAGTTGTATCTGAGCCCGCACGTCAAGGTTTTACATCACCCTTGATCTGCTAATGAGATTAATGGGCATTAGAATCTGTTGCCAAACTTAAACATGAGTAAATCTATATCAAGTTATATATTACTAGTTGATGAAATGAAGTATTTTATCAAGAGATATGAAGAGAAGCTGGGTCGTATGACGGTGAGCCGAGGTTTTCTTCGAACAGTTCAGCAGACAAAATTCCGAGACAACTCTCCTGCAGTATCCGGTGAGGCCAATCTATGAATCTCTTCGACTCGCTTTCTCAAACGAAATGAAAGGTACACCTGTATCGAAGTATTTTATCGTCTGTTGAATAGCATATTTACAATTAATTCTCTTAAGTACCTTGTCAATGATAGCAGTATTCGCTACATTTAACGAGTAAATAATATTTTTGCAATTATTTTAGTTATTTTGAAGACTTTTCTCTGGTGCTCTCCTAACCCATATTACTGTTCATTTGTAATTCTATTTCTGTCCCTAGTTTAGGATTCGGAAGAAAGGCCGACAGAAGCTGTGTCTGCAGAAAAGCTCACAATACAAGATGAATAGTTATGCTCCTCGTATGAATAGTTAATTTTTCAAAAATATTTATTCATATTGGATTTGAATAATTCGCATAAAAGGAATGTTTAAAATCCTTGCATGTGCTTCTGCCATGTTCGCAAATACAGGATACAATCCGGCTACATAATTTCAACCCGAGTTAAATTTATCCATGTTTGTATGTACACATCGAGGTATGATCGCGATGATGACATGAGAGCTCAATGTACAACAGAAATTCTTAACAAGCCATCATAGTGCCTTGCTACGGGGTAAAGCATGCACCTCCATGGCATTTCCCTCGGTCAGACGGACGGTCAGCTGTTCACAGAACATTAGGACGAGATGAACAATTGCCGAACATTTGAGTTCACCTTTTTCGAAGTAGCCCGGCCGGGCAGCTGTTGCTTGACAAGCCTATTCGCGGAATCGCATTAGAACGATGTTATGTGCACTTTTAGGCACATAATTAAAGTTTTGAACTTCTACTTAAGAGATCGGGATAGCTGCCGCATGCTGTCTTTTTATAGCGCCCTATACAGTTAGCAGTCTATTCATTTAATAACGCCTGTTAACTAGTATCACCATCGGTTTCATTTAAAAGCATGCAGGCTTATTTATCCCTATGAATTAAAATATATTTCCATAAGCCTCCTCTCACACGTTCTTTATATATTATTGTACTCTAATGTAATGTAATATATTCTAATAATGAGACGCGTACTAAATATTAAATATTCAAGTTAGGAGGTCTGCCCATGAAGTGATAACCGGGTAAGTTTTTTTCACCTTTAAACATAACATACCCTATGATGAGTTAGGTCTTAAGTTCTTTTAATACCTTCTTGGGGCTGGTGACACAATTTGAGAGTAATTAAAATCCAAAATAAGCTTAGTTTTAAAAAGTAAATTAATATTTACTTTTATTCAATGCAAAGCAAAGTTTAGCTCACCAAAATAAGGTACAAGTAGTTTAGCCATGGCATGACACGATATTCATAAGCTACTTATTTGAACGATCCAACAGGATTCCTCTGAAGGCTCTTTTTTCATTATAGCTCACGAAAATGTGACAATTTCTAAACTCCCTGCTGCAAGCAAGGTGGATATATTTTTCCAACTCATTTGAAGGGCAAGTCGAGAAAAGATTGGTCCCTACCCCGCTTAGTCCTCTCGAAAATCAGAGAAACGAATAGTCTTGGTTTGGCCTCTTTTTCGCAACATGATCGGAACGACGGGAAAATCTAGTGGAACGTACCCAGTTCTGGGTCCTCTTCTAAAGTATTCGCGATAATCTCCAGCATTGAACCATTGACTTGGTACATTCCCAAGTGTATTGCAAATTCCGATGCCGGAAATCATCATAAATGTTTGGGCAGAGGATGCAGAACTAGGTATGTTCCACAAAGTCTCCCTGTCGCTCCGGCCAAGTTGTGACAACGAGATCAAATTAACACTATATAGCTAATGGAGACTGCGATAAAACGAAAGACAACACTATCTTGGTCTTCGTATCCATAAAGGAAGTAATGCTTAAGAATAACATTTACCTTTGTTTAAAATACCTCATCTTTTGGAAGTTAAGTGAAATTATAGTATAATGAGCTATGCCAATCAAATGAGTAAACAAAATGTCGTATATAGCTTTAAACAATACATGGCTGCCACCTCAAGTCGTGGTGAGGAGGTTTGAGTCAATTCTAATCTGAGACGAGGATTGGCACCCAAAAATCATTTCAAAGACCTGCTCTTCTAGGCGTCCTCCAAACCGTGGATGACCTAAGTACTTGGACTTGCTGGTAAGCAACACAAATCCAAAAGCCAATCTTTCCTTGCTCTTGAAACAGCACATAGGTCAAAGCTTTATCGACCCATCCACTCAGAGTGGAAGAGACAATATATTTGAAAGGCGATTGGTAGGTTGAAAGACAGTCAAAGCGACAAAAAGCATAGAACAATGAGTATGCTCACGAAAGATGTGATGATAATCCAGAACTAAATTTATAAGCAGGGGTTTAGTTAATCCAACCTCGACCAACTGCCTTGAATGGACTATCAAAGCATGATGGTGAATATTGTCCGATTCATGGATTATAGGTTAGTGAATCGGAGTAGAATGCACCACTTTAGATAAACTTGCTGTAGCGTTATATGAAAAGTAACACCGCAATGAAAAGAGCTGAAATGCCTTTGCCACTATTACGATCGGATTATTAAAATAAATGTGCTAAAGAGTGAATAAGCAAGAAACCTATAGCTAAAACTTGAAGCATTCGTGCTTCGAGTCATGTTGCCTTGTCCCGTCGCTTCTCAATTATACAAAATGGCCGGGAGCCACTATTTTTTCAGACATATCTATAATAAATTTCATACAAGTTACTCGTAGCAGAAACTGCTAAAAAGGTTGGGGCATATACAAGAACAAGCACACCGAAGATAGTTGGTTACCGGATTCTTTCCTGGGCCATACCGATAGACACCATGTCTAAAAGAAGAATGGTTCACAGGGTAGATATAGTTATCAAGGCGTGACAAGCCCCTCGAAAGTCGCATCTACGATTAGATATATAGAAAATTCAATTCATAGAGTTAGATGCCACTGCTAAGGTAATGGGAGTAATTTCATGAGGACTACGAGCTCAAATAGACAATCTCACAGCCCACTTGGCGTTCTAACGAGACCTGGGTCAGGAAAATCTGTAGTCGAGCTTGGATGAGAGATGTGATGTTGTTCACAATAAAATTCATAAACAAAGCTGAGCATACTGACAGCTTGTCATGGACCATATCTGAAATGCCATGAGAGCAACAATTGTAACCCATCACTTACCTTTGACCAAATAGCTTAATGATAAAAAGCTACTGGATTGTTTGCAAATGAAATTCATGTTACTGGTAGTGGTAGTTGAGTCGGTGGTATGCAAGAATTTTGTTCCCGTATGCAATTTACAGAGTTTCGGGAGGCCTGCAACCTTAAATTCAGTCACCATTTCGATTACATCAACACTAAAATGGATGTATACAATCCCTGGTGTGATTTACGACTGAACAGTGGGAAGGCCTGGACAATTAAATATAAGGAATTATCGCTTAAATAAAGGAAATATCAAAGCCAATAAGTTTGCGTATTAATGAGTAAGCCAACGGCTAGTAAGAGTGATTTCAGGAGTGATAGGAGAAACGAGTCACCAAAATGATAAAAATGCCCGAATTATGTGACAAACGAATTCGCTTATCAGCATATTTCAGTGTAGAATCTAGAAAGTTATGCTTACATTTGCTTGAAGGCCTATACGTACTATTGTGTCTTCTTCTGTGACCATCGAAGTGAAATGTTATACCACCTTTTATGGAAGCTGTATTTGCTTTCCGTTGTCATTGCCTCGGGGCTGCCTTGCTTCGAAAAGAACTGCTGCCAAACATCACGCATAAAGCAAATGTCGACAATCATATAAGCAGAATTGAAAAAAGTTGGTTTTCGAAGAATTCCTTAGTCAGTTATTACGACATGACTTTCGATTTGAAAGAACAAGTTGGTTAGAAGGAATTCGTGAACTGGTCTCACCAGAAAACAAAGTAAGATAACCTCGTAATGAAGACTGCTGAATTGCACGAAGGAGTCCTCAGCTCACCGTCCTGCGAGCCCCATGAAAGTGCGCTAAGCTTTCGTCTGTACTATGACAGAAGTCATCAGCAGTATTGTCGGCTAGCACTAGAAGGCTAGTAATAAAAGTGTCCGTTGCTTGAATAAATTCACCATAGAAGCGACATGCTAACTCACTTGCGATATTTGTAATAAATGTACCGAATAAAACTAGCGTATTAGGCAGAGGAATTCAGCTGTTTGGCGGATTACTCTCGGCCCCAAAAGGTTGCAAAATCAGGGTAATAGGATACGCAAGGCCGAATTATGCAAATAGTTTCACCACAAGTATGTATTTAAGTAAATCGTAAGGTTTTAATGCGATTAGTGAAAGCTAAGCATTCTAATTAGTTCGTAATTGGTTGATTGGAAGGCAGCCTCTACTGGCATTGTCGCCAGCATCGAAGTCTGTATTCAATGCAGCTTAATACGCGCAACCACATGCCTACGAGTCATACAAGAAATCAACATGGCTTGACTACAACTAATATCTGAAGCGTTAAAAAGCATCGTTCTTTCCCGGCCACCTTTCGGCAACAAAACTCACCCCGACTTTAGCAGCCGAGGCTGAATCTCTTTCATGTGTTGTCAAAGCATTTTGTCTACTTTTTTGTATGGGCTTTAGCTGCTATGTTTGGCCTAGTGACTGTGACCGGAGCACAAGCTGAGACAACTGGTGTGAGAAAATCAGAGGTCCAGACTTTAACGTAGCGCTTCAGAAAGCGCCAGACAATGACCTCATGATCGGCCAGGCCAGAAGATAGCAACAATAGGAAAGGCCACTAACTTTTCGCTAAGTGACCTAAATAAATTACTATTACCATTGTATTACCAACCCATACCTCCGGTGCATCAGCCTCTAGTTGATGAGTGGTCGTTTCAACTGATGGCTGCAAAGCTGAATAGAATTGGATATCCTTGTGGGGCCTTGTCTTCATGTGATGGTGTGAAGGTTAACTATCATTAAATTATAACAATCAAGATAAATTGAAAGTTTAGGAATCTACTTAATTAAAAGATAGTAATGTAGTCGACATATATATATATATATATGCATCACTGGTTATCCTATTATATAAGGGAAGTGGCAGAGGCCCTGGTTTTCTTTGAAAGTCATATCGGACCAGTGACTATGAGATGGAAGGGTAATGTTGTCGTTTGGTATGCACTTGCCTGTCTGAAATAGCTCTGAGGATGACGATGAGACCCAGGCTAGGCCGAAACTGTAGGTATTTTTGGATAAGAACGCATTTTAGGAAGTGAAGTTGGATGAAATGTATTAAGGTATGAAGACCAAGATGTTGTGGCCTCTGGTATGGTCGCAAGGAAGCGGAAGATTAGGGAGGCTATTGAGATCATTGGGGAGAAAAAACTAATGAACAGGAGATTGGAGGAAGGTAGAGTTAGCGATAACTTTGCCTATCGCTTGAGCAAACTCGGAGAAAACAGGAATAGAGCAAGACCAGCAAAAAGAAGACGCCTGGAGCAAGGATCTGCCGCTAACCAGAGGAAAAGGGATCGCGATGAAGAAAGTGGGTGGCAGGGGTTTTCGGCAATACAGCGAAGACGTTGTCACTGTGTGATGCCCATTTCGAATAAACCCATACAACTTTGGGGGACTGACTGGCAGTCAGGGAGCTGGGCAGACGGATAAACAAAGCGTCACGGAAATTCGGCGTTATGGCCAAAATGTACCAGAAATCCACTTGAGATGCCGCATGTGACCAGAGATAGGCGTTCACAGTTTGCTCAAATAAAATGGGTCTGATCAAGGAGAGGACCCGTGTAGGGAAGGCCAGATATCTGCAAGCACGGGAATCAAAGCTTAGGCGCTCTGCTCAGTGAAGCGGCAGTGTACGTGCTTCTAGGGCCTTGAGAAATGGAGTCTGGAGTGAACTGCACACGGGGACTGAAACCGAGTGAAATTGGTCAACGATAAAGATCAAGAACAGATCTTCGAGACAATGAGGGGATCCGGATTTGAGGCTCGAGTCGGATCAGCCGATCGAAAGAGAGGGGGTCAGGGTGAATAGCAGGTGTGATGAGGCCGCACTATATTTGCCACAAAAGGGCACACATTTCGGAAGAGTGGAATGTAAACAAGTGAGAAGTTGTGATAGGGCGGAAGTGGGATAAGAGTGTAAAGAGTAGATAGATAGGCCATGGCAGAAAGAGGAGTGATAGTGTAACCGTTTTCGGCAGAACGTTTGTCGAGGGATTGACTTCCCTTGTCTCTTTGACGAGTTCGTAGCTTGGTGAGGCGAATGGCAAAACTGACTGATGATGCCGACTGCGATGCCGGCGAAACGTTTAAGAATGTACCAAGTACACTGTCTGATGCTGGGAATCATGACAACTAGTACGACAGACGACATCGGACTAGGTCCCATTTCTAGAAATTAAATAACATCGTGGGACCTTCTACTCATTTATCTACTAGTCCCGTGTCGTCTAAAGCGACATAAGATGACTAATTTTTTTATCAACTAGGAGGAAGAAAGCATGGCAGACGAAGGTAATGAGTCAAAAAGATAGTTCTCACTAGACTTTGTTGAAACTTTGGCTATTTTCACGATAGTTTAAGCGAATGAAGGCCATGATGATGTGGTCCTTATTTTGGTCGTAGTCTCCTTTCGGTGTATCATGTTGGTTAGACGTGGTTTTCGAAAGTTGTTCATAATTTCAGAGAGACTAAAGAAAGCGCATTGCCCTGTCTGCTATTCAGATCCTCTGTGTACATTAATCAGGATGAATCAGAGATTCTAACTTAGTCCTCTTCGATACTCTGAGTTATCGGACGCCAAGATCCAGGGCAATGAGGTAAAAAAGTGGTTTTATAATTGCACCTTAAAGTCATATCCCATTGCCTAATGTCTTCCTTGTAGAATTTCAAATAGTAGAACTTATTGGTCACGACTTTACCGACTTTAATTAGATTCAGAGTCGGACCGCGTACTTTTTCCATTGTCCTCACTAACCTGGCTGAGGACGCAGGACATGATACTTACGTTGAGATGACCTTCACCAAAAGACCATGGGGTCAAAATAAGATCAAATAAATATTTATAAAACCACCTAAGCAAATTCGGGAAAATATTCACGATGAATAAGTTCTACCTACATATAGATCGAGTATTTTTCTATTATTTGATAGTCTCTTACAAAAACATATGGCAAGGGAGTTCTATTCAACGATGAACTTATCAAACCACATTCGGAACCTTCTTAGCATTACGTTTAGGCGTTCGATCG